AAAAACTAAAAATACAAGATTGTAAGATTTCAATATGTATCCAGAAGTTCAATAATTCACAAATCCGCAGCTCAATATAAAAACTCAATAATTTTGAAGACCAAATAGAATTGAAAAAATTTTTCAAACTTTTCTCTAGAAATATTATTATTATAATTCCCGTTAGAATTTAATTGGTTACTTATGGGCTGATTGACGATAACAATGGCGAACCTCTGTTGATGGTAAATGTACGACTCCTGTGCTACGCCGTTTTTCTCGCAGTTTCCGTCGATCACGTTGCTGCTTCCCCTTGTTTATATGCGTTGGCCTGTGCAAACAGGATACGACACTAAAGACACTAGAACCAGATCCAGAAAGTATATTAGGCAATTACGTAAAGTTCCGTGCATCAAAGATGCTGTTGGCTAATGGACACTCCAAGCGCGACAATAAGTTTCTATTGGTTTTTCTATCAGCTTTATAAGCGCATGCAATCGCGATTTACATACCGGCCGGTCACACGTTTATCCTGTTTCCTTATAATGGGTTTACTTTGTGGATTTTCATGTTCAGGCGGAAGCACGGGATTGGTGTCGTAAGAGCCTTGTGATTCCTCCACATCGGGTGTATTCTCTGTAAATAGAAGGCATCGGAAGCAGTTAGATTGATAAGATTATAAATCTGATTACACGTGATTTCTTAAATCGTCTTTTTATTGAGCCAAATCATTACACACACACACACACACGCGCGCGCGCGCGCGCACACACACACACACACACACACACATTTATTTATAGATATATACAATATATGTATACTTTTAAGGCTTCCACAAGTATTTATTTCAAAGATGCCAGAGAGCTTGCGAGTTTTCGCGATGTCGTGATCCATTGCTAATTGAATTAGCAATGGATCACGACACGATAACCCGCAAACCCTTTAGTATCTTTAAAATTTATATATATTTAAATCAAATAAAAACGTTTATTAGATTTAGATTTATTGTTTATCATGCATTATATACATGTTCAAAATTTGTTCAAGTTTAAACAAGCAGATTAACAAAAATCTTAAATTGCATGTTCGTAGAAACTTCCGCAATCGTCAACACATACTTTGAAAGCTTATGGAAGACACATCTCCTGTCCTCGCCGGACCCACCCTGGCCCTAGCTGTCCTGATCCTAGATCTCCTGGACGTTAACTCGAAATCGTTGTCGAAGTCTTCCTGGCTGACGGAACTAGACGCCATGCCGGTAATATCGCTGCAATGCAAGACTACAGCTTGTAACACATATTCATCGCGCGCTCACGGGACATAAGCAGCACTACCCGCCGTAAGAATGTGCGTGTCGTGCAAAGACGAAAAAAAATGAGTCCTTACAAAAAATACCTGGACATCTGAACAAAGGGTAGGTTGTGACGTGCGCGATACCTGCGGAAGGGCTTGGTCTCGTTCCGTGCGGGTGTCCGTGAAGTTTAATAGCACTCAATCTATGCTACTGTCTCGTGGGACTCTCGTCTGAGAAAAAGGGAGAGGAGGAGAAGTCGAGAGGACAGTATTTTTGAAAAACGAAATTATGAGGAGAGAAACGAAAGAACACAAAAAAGAGAAAGAAAAAAAAAATAAAAAGAAAAGGAAGACGCAACATGCGCAGGTAGTGAAATCCGTAATCAGAAACGAGATAATCGAGGAATTACCTGAGGTGGTCCTTGGCTGCCGATTCGATGACTCACTGATGACCCGAACAAGGGATTGACAGCTGTCAGCCGACGTGAACGACGACCATAAACATTGGCCGGAACAGGCGCATAGCTGGAGTAAGATCGGCGTATCGATCGTCGTACTCGTTGACTAGTAGATTGGAGCCAAAAAAGCCGTCTCGGCAACAGTGTTTGAAGTCTACCGTCCGGCTGCGATTCACCGTCGACTGTGGAATTCGTGGAATTGCTACGAGAACCACTGATGATCGCAAGTAAGTAGTAACTGCTATGCTCTCTTTGCTTGTTGTTCACTGCGCTAGGCCAGGCCGTCCCCACCTTTGGCGTGAGCACGATGCGTAGTATGTCAGATGACAGACAGCACGAAGACTGGGAATGCGTTCGGAAAACACAGCCAATCGTGCGACCGCTTCAGTCATGGACGTAACGTAAGTTGAGAACGGACACAAGAGCTGGGATAAATGTATAGAGAGAAAGAGATATTTGAGACTTTATACTACGTCTTTCTTTCTTCGATTGAAGAAAGAGAAATAAGATCAGAGTGTGTTATTCATAATCTGTTCTTATTAACACGTCTTAAGTAATGTCTTAATTAAGGATTATTTATACTGGTTGTAATCTGTTAACTTATGCTGTAATCTGTAAGAATTGACCAATCATAATTGAATGAGAGGAGAATAATCAACTATGATTAGTCAATTTATATAGATTACTGCTAGTATAAATGATGCTTAGCGTCGAAACACTACCGTGTCTTCTGATCTTTTAAGGTGGGATCTGTTTTGATGTTAAAAGTGAGCGTCGAGCATGAAAATGCACCTTAAAAATCGATTATATATGAATACCAGTTTAAAAGAAAGACAGAACGACCTAGAGAGCTCAAAGGGAGAAAGTAGCAAATTGCATCACGTGAATAACCGCGTCCAATCAGGATAGGAGTCACGTGACCAGTCTTTTCCAATCTCTTCTATGCCTATGGAGCTTTGATGGCCGCGTCCAATCAGAGAAGACGGGTCACGTGATGCAGTTGCCACTCTCTCCATTTGAAGCTTTCTAGAACGACCGCCAAGATTTGTTATCCTCGTTTAGGATTGCTTTCTCTAGTGAGCATTGTATCGTGATCAATTTCACATGTCAGCTTGTTTGATCAATTCACACTACGTCTATGGTTTGAATGACTATTTACTACTTGCCAGACGCAAAATGATCAATGAACGACTGCGTTTAGAAAATTCAGTGCCATTTTATTCTCATTTCGTAATTTAAAATGTAGCGACGAAGATAATATAATATATATATATTT